TATAAATGTTGAAAAATATTAAATTTTTTTAAATTAAAATAACTGATAACACTTTATATTTTGAAAATAATTATTAAGTTATATTTGTAACTTTTTAAGAATTTTTTTTAAGGTGCAATCATTCTTTACATTACAAGCAAAAATACAAAAAGGGCCATTTCGCGACAACCTGAGTTACACTACAATACACCAGCCCTACACGGACAAAAGCAGTGGAGTCAAGCATGAAAATAATTTGGATTTTCTGCACGCGCTATTTAAACGAACACAAAACGCAGCTCGGCGGCAGCAGCAGGTTTGAAAAACAGCCATAACGTTGGCCGAGGGTCGACCTCAATCTCGCCAGAAGCCCTTTTCACGCGCACGTATAGTACATACGGCGGGGAGCACTGAAATTTTTCCCATCTGTGCAATAACAAGGGCGAGAGATTAAACATGCCGTGTGCTGGCCGACGCCGCCGCGCGCGAATAATTGTCGGGAAAAAATCAGAGACAAAAAAAAAAAAAACGAGGGCGAGTTGTTCGCAGTGGTCATGCGCCGCCAGATCGAATAATTAAGATACGCGACTGCGTTTGGCGGTTTCTGCAGCTCGATGCGAAATGAGAATTTCTGTCTGCCGGCGTTTTTTATTATTTCTCTCCTTTCTGCACGCTTGTTTGGCTCGTGAGTCATTTATGCTGATAACTAGGCATGTGCGTCGCGCCGCTTCTTTAATAATACTTATGGGGTCGTAACCCCCTCGCGGCGGCGGCAGCAGCAGGGTCCAGCAGCTTTTGTTCCATTCGGCAGCTTTGTTAATGCGGACCCACAGGGAGAGTGCCGGGGCGGGATAATAATGGGTGAGGGGGTGATCAGCGCGCATAAAAGAGTTGCAGCGCCGGCCGCCGGATAAAAATCTTTAAGAGAAGAGTATGGGAATAAAAGGGGCTGCAGTTCGGCGCACCGAAACCAATAACTCCCCACGTACCAAACCACCCTCTATACCCGAAAAGTGACGTCACCGCCGCCTGAATTATCATTGTTGTGTGCGTGGCGCAGGAAAAACTAGTTTGCTCCCGCACTGCATAGCCGCGTACAAAAGAGAAATATAATAGAGAGATGAGTTCTGGCTGAACGTGATTTATTAAAAACAGGGGCAGTTTTTCACGAGTTTGTTCACAGCTCATAATTATTAGCATAGTTTATATTAATATATTAATACAGGTTCAATGGTAAAACCTGGATTAAAACTTAAAAGAAGCTTTCTGTTAAAGTTATACCTTCTTTTTATTTTAATCTGGGTAGTTAATCATGTACTTCATACAAAAAAAAAACATGAAATGTACTTTTAAATAGTTATAAAACCTATTTAAAAAATTTTCCAGTTTTTTTTAAGCGCAATTTCACCTATTTTTGATGAATCAATTCAAAACGGAAAAAAAATACTTCATTATAAATTTTTCTAATCATTGAAAACTGAGTGTCAAATACTTTTCATCATTATATATTTAGTTTTAATAGCAAAACTTTGATGCCAAAATTATTTCTTCATAATTTGGCTTTTTTCCCATTGTAAAAATTGTCTCTCTTTCTGAAAAAAAAACACGTCAAAAGAAATTTATTTATTTCTAACCAAAAAGATTCCCCCCACACGTTAATACCTTACTGCAATCAGCACCTAATCAATGTTTAAATTTTTTAAAGAATTTTACAAATTGAATTGAATCAATTTTTTAATCCTGCTTATAGGTTATAATCGTAAAATATCGTTTTTCCATCATCGGTACAGTGGAGAATGCGACACCAGCAGGAAATTCATGATCAGGTTGCAGCGTTACTTGTCACAAGAACCAAGAGTTTTTCAAAGAAAAAGAGACACAATATAAACGCAGCCTCTCTGTCTCTCTCACATGCTGGGCTCCATTTATGGAAAGGTAAATGGGAATCATGCCGTGAAAATAGCTGTTTTCGGTCAGCGTTGTGTTGACCCGCGGGTGGCTAACTTTCTGTCACTGCCCATAATGAGCGTCGTGATTTATTCTCTAATGGCTACTTAAAACCGACAAACAACTAACTCTGCCGATGCTAGACACGTAGCGAAAGGTGCCACTTCTTGGAAGTGCAGCTGAAGCTACATGAGAGACACAAAAGCGCAGAACTACTGAGAGACGCGTTTGTACTGAATACCTGTTTTGAAAAAAATTTGAAGAATTTCTAACTATTTGATGCATGCACCATGCAGCCAGCGAGATGTGGACTTGAAATTTTAATTGCGGTTACAAAATTTTATTAATTAATTACACTTTGATTATGTCTTCACTTTTTACTCATAATAAATAGTACATTTAAGGTGGTGCCACCAAATGTTATAATCCTTTAAGGTATTTAAGCTATTTTAAGCGTTGGAAGGCAATACATTCATTTATACATTTTTTTTTTATTTTATAGTTAAACATCAATATTCAAAATTATACTTTTGTTTTAAAAACCTGATAATTATTTACTCAAATTGAATTATAATAATAAAAATAAATAAATAAAAAAATAACTTTTCATTAAATTTTTATAATACACAATACTATAAAACATTAAAATTTTTTAACTTTTATCTTGCTTATGTATAAAATAAAATAAAATATGTATTTGATGTTAAATTTAAATTATCTGAACGAATGCTGTTAATTTGTTAGTGTGTGTGAATGTTTTTTTTTTTTGTAATTTTTATGTGTATGTAGAGTTGTGTCGTGTATGTGCTGTTAAGGCTGTTAAGTGGTAAAATTTCTTTTCGAATATTTGAATGTTTAATTTAACGTGAAGTTGTTTTATATATATTATTATACTAAATTTGTGTCAAGAGTCCAATTTAAGATTTATAACACGCTTCGCATTTCTTCAATTGGGTTAGCAAGACATTATGTAAATTTGTACCTATAAATGCAAAATCTATACCCCCACAGACCTATATTTCCGAACCTGTACATCTGCTTGAAGAGAGAGTCTGGATGCCACGGTTTGAGTGAAATACGCGCGCGAGAGGCAAATAAATTTAAATCAGCGGCGGCGCCTCTTCTTTTCCGTATTCTTCTTCTTCGCCACTTAATTTAATCCAATTTGTACTCGCTGCAACCTCAAGATTGCGTGGATAAGTGTTTTTTCGCGCTCGCTCTTCCTTTTTACACGCGGCGGCGAACTCCCCCAATCCGCTTTTTCTGCAGCACCAACATCGCCCTGAGCATATAAAACAGCTTTGCTCTCTCCCGCTCGCTCGCTCACTCGACAGATGTAAAAATCTCATTTTCCTTTAAAAAAAAGTTATTTAAATCAGCAACTAATGAGATCCACTTGTTGAATAACGTAAGTCGCGCCGGCGGAGGCGGTAATACTTTTCTGCCGGCGCGCACAAAGGCAGTTACATCCAATTTATTTTCCTCCCTCGGCGCTCCTGCGCTTCTTTCGAGTATAATCCTCCAGCCCCAGCGCGGTGCCACCAAAGCCGCATGAAATATGGATAAATTTAATCAGCGATTGTAACATGTTGCGGATTATTCCAGTGCCGCTTTTTTAATAATGTGATTTTAGCATAATCGATAAGCAGCTGAGAGAGATTCGCCGAGACAGCAAACTTGTGGAAATGTGGAGAGGGAAGGAAGAAGCGAAGGCTTGAACAAATCTCTTGTTGACGCAGAAAATCTAGAATTTCCAGACTGTACCTAAATATCCATTTGGTACACCATTTATTCTTCACAACAAATATTGGAAATAATTAAGGTCAGCATTAGATTTATTTTTTCAACTGTTAATTAGGAACGATTCAACTTAAGAGTAAAAATTTGAAGATCACTCTGGCTCAAATTTTACTGGAATTATAGGCCCTTTTATGCAGGCATAAAAATAAAATAATATAATGCAATATATGTTGGGCAGATTTTTCAATTTCTATAATGAAACTTGACTGAAATTTATTTAATCATAATAATTCATTTTATTGAAATAAATGTTTAAAACTAATCTCTGTTATTTACTTTTTTGTTCAAATTTCCATATAATATACTCAATGTCTAAACAAATTAAAACAGGTTTCTTGCTTATCAGGATGTCAATTTTTTTGAATAAATGAAAAAAAAAATATTCTTTTATTCAATAGCTTAAATTGAATATTGATGCTTATAAATCAATAAAAAAATTGAAATTGTGCGGCTTTTTTTAATTTATAAGATTTTTTAATCTTAAATATTTTTGAGAAAACCATTTCAAAGTTGCCTTTTTTGGGTGTTGCCATATGCATTAAAATCAGAAGCATAGCTTTGAGCTTCCTGATTCAATTTCATTTAATCATCGGCGCCCTCGGCAATTTTTGACCCCTTTGAGCCAAGCACCGAACCCTGATTTGATTTTTTCGGCCGGTGTGAGTGGGTGTCCATTCAGGGGCGCCGCAGCTTTGTCGGGGTGGCCAGTAATAAACGAGTGCGCTCTGTTATTTCATGTCGAGAGAGAATTTCTGGTGCGTTATTCCAAGAGTTGCACTCGGAGCATTACACGAAAGCCCTCTGTGTGTGTGTGAGTGTTTTCTCTCTCTACCCTCGCTCTTTGTATATTAGAGGATAGGTTCATTAAGTTGGGGAAGAGCGAGACAGCATGCAGGCTAATAATTTCACTGAATTCGCGCGGGGCGTTCAATTAGGTAAATGAGCCTCTGGCTTACTACTTTACTGCCTTTTTAGCGTCGTAGAATATATCCCACCACTGCTGGACGTTGCTCCCGGTGTAAGCAGTCTAATGGCCGCCACTGGTCCGGCCGTAAACTTTTGAAGACTCAAACGGCAACTTTTGGGATTGACCCAGAGCGGAAATAAAGAGAACGGCGCTTAATTCGTGCTCACCGCACTCTGTGGAAATCACGCTGGTCGATTTTGTTACACACAGGAATGAAACATATTTTGCGATTTATGTTTTATTTTGCATTTTTTATTTCATTTTGAAACTGAATGCATTAGGTTCATAAATATTTAAATAAACGTAGCGACCAATTTTCCTCTTTCTCAATTTTCTAATATATTGAATTTCTTTGGGTAATATTCTTATTGACTCTTTTTCTGTATATAATGCATACTGTACACAGCATAAATTACAAAAATACCTACATGACAAGTATGCATACTGTATTCATACAAGGTGCAATCAAACAACAAGTCGCGCACATACATTTCGGCTGCAGCTATTATAATTATTTGGACCAAAAGCTCTGCTCATTGCACTTACTTTCTTTCTTTCTTTCGCTACACGCTGTACACTATTTTCAGTCAAAATACTGCACATATCATGGGAGTTGTTTGTTTTTATTTACATATCACTCGATTTTTGCTTCCAGCTTTGTCTCTCAGTACGGCCTCCAGACGGTTTTGTGCGTCGCCAAATTACTCGGCGTGGGGCCGCAACCACTTTTGATAACAGTACTGTCTGATTTCACTTTGGCTGCAGCTTTTTCTTCCTCGCCCTTGGGCGAGCTGGAGGATGCTGTGAGGGGTGGCGACACCTGCACTTTGGACGCAGAGGGCTTTACTTGTTGGAATGCAGACCTTACACTCTCCTGTTGCTCCGAAGAGGTTGGGGAACTGGATTTGTTCGAGTTCAGGGGTGAAGAGGAAGGCGAGAGGGGTCGTTTGATGAGGAGGCTGCTAGGTGCTGGCAGTAGGGGTGCGGGCGAAAGGGACGTGCTGGTTGCTGCCTGCGAGGGTGGCGAACTCGAGGTCAAGGGACTGGCTCCAGCGGGCTGTACAAGGGTTGCCGGGTCTGGTGGGGGTGGGTAGGGCAGCAGGGCGCCAGGGGGCATGTAATGTGGTGGGAAAGCGCCAGGTTGGCCGAGGTAGAAATCGTTAGGTCTCATTTCAGCACCGCCTGTGAACATACAAAAATTTTAATTTAATTTTGGGTCAAGAAAAACCTAAGGATGAGAATAAGTGCAAATTTAATACATTAATTTTTTCCACTTCAATTTTGCAAATAACATATATTCAATATAGGGTTCAATATTCCTCTTCAGACATTTAAAATATCAACAATTTTATACAAAAATCAATCAGATCAAAAAAATCTAACCAATTTATTTTTTTTTTAATTTGTAAACAGAAAATAAAACTTATAAAAATCATTTTAATTCATATAGTCATTCATAAAGAATTTAATTTTTAACTTTTTTTTTATTTCTAGCAAGAAATAAATGCATTTTTCAAAGGTAAATATAGAATAACGCAAGCATTGATGTCAAAGCCAGTGCACACACAATCACGAGAGGCACACATTCGTTGCTCTCTGTGAAGTGCTGGTGGTCTGCTTTTTTATATTTAAAAGTACGCTGTGAAATATTCAACAGTGGCAACCTCACTGATGGTTAATCAGAACTTCATTCGCAGATAAAAATATACGTGTGTGCCCTTTTCCAATCAATAATCTCGCCGCCCCACATCACGGCAGCGCGAGCAAAAGGCTTGACAGGCGTATATGTGCAATTTTAAAAAGCAAAGCGCAGAGGGAAAAACGAGCCCCGCATGTTCGCAATAAAATGCATCTCGCGTGAAATCAATGCAAATAGCCAATATATATAAATATACACACATAGATTGGCAATAACTTGAGAGTCGTGCATATTAAATTTCAGACGACAGATTAACCCTTAAGGCGACGAGGTGATTATTAAATTCAAGGAAATTTGCATTGGCGAGGAGCGAGAATTCAACTCGGCTCAAATCTTTTGGGATTCTCGCGGCGCTCTCGCATTTTGTGCTTTTGTGCCGCTGCTGGTTATTTCCTTAATCCGATTTCATCCTCAGCAGAGCATTTATTTACCGAGGAGGGGGCGCTATAATAAGCTGGAGGGCTTTATACTTGGATGGGAATATATTGGCCTGCTGCTCTGTATGACTCACTTCAATGGCCACACTAAGTGAAAATTAGCTAAGAGTGTTGTCGCCTTACATCTTTAAACGCCACTCTTTCTAACCGCACCAAATCTTCCCACAACATTTTATTTTATTTTAAACTTCAAATGCAGATATAATGGTGCAACCGTTAAGAATTTTGCAAGTTTTAAGTTAACTTGAAGCAAGGATATTATTGAAAAAAGGAATCAAAACGTTATTTCAATTACAATCCCGAGCAAATAATAGCAACCCGATCAACAAAAAATGAAACTCATCTTTTATTTGTTTAATTTTTTCTAATAAAAATTTTCACACGGGAATTTAGAAAATCAGCACTATATCCTGGGTGAATTTAAGGCTTTTAAAAATTTTATTTCGCCATGTTTCATAGCTCAAATCATAAACGTGGAAGTGAGAAAAGAAGTGACCTGGAAACAATCCATCCCAGTTTTAAGTGGAAATTCAAAAATGAAAAAAAAACGTGAACAAATTAAAATTTTTTGTGTTATGCTAAATAGTCGGAAAATAGAAAATTTATTATGATAAATATTTCAGAATTTTTCTGTTAAAAACTCTATTTAAAGAATTAAATTAATTGACAAAATTAGTGTCAATTGAGCTGCCCAAATTAATATTTCGGACAAGCCAATAAGTTAAATTTTTATGCTTGTGATATTATTTAATTTTTAAACTGAATCAGTTTAGACTTTTTTGTACCAAATCATATATATTTTTTTTATAAGAAACGACAAAAAAATTTGAAACGATATGAGGAAAGGAAATAATTGTTTACCTTTCATAAACGACGGCGGCTGTATGACCCCAGGCAGTTTGCAGAATTCAGCCACGGTGGTTCTGCGAATGTAATCCCAATTGTAGGCGGCCACATAGGCAGGGTCGAGCCACTGCGAGGGCACCATGGAGAAGGGCCCGAAGGCTCCGGGATGCTGACCTGGCAGGAAATGCACTGGAACAAAACAAAGGCGAATTAAATCAAGTGGACAGTTCCACCAGACAATGCGGTGCAGCTGGTGAATCAAAATTAGACTCGCGCGCACCAGGGCGAGAGAGATTAATTTTATCATCCCCGTCGGGTCATTAATGTCACTTTTACTGTTTTACTGCCGGGCAGCAACAAAGTGAAAAGAAAACAAGCTCCTCAGGAAAGAGAGTCTTATTATTATTATTGTATACGCCAGGCTGCTGCTGGGGAGCAATATTTCACGAGAGTGGTCAAACATCGTCCGAGAAAAGATCAGCAGCGGGAGCACATCTCAATTACACACGCACAAGACAACTTTCCTCTTTGCTCTTTCAATAGCAAAAATAACAATGCTCTTCTCCAGTATAGCGGTGGAGAGATGGAATTTCGAGAGGGTCTTTTTCCGAGAAAGGGAAAACGGGACGTACATGCGTGTGTGTAAGGAGCGCATTCAAGAGGGCCACTTGCATTTCACACCATGCAGGATTTTTCCCCTGTGCTGTGCAGCAATGTCTGTATATCTGTCTGGGAAAAATAAAGAGATTCGCCAGCAGCAAATACACACACGCAGAGAGAATTGGCTCTGTGTGTGATGTTGCGCGTTTTGAAAACAAACAGCGGAATCAACAATTTCACCCGCGCCGAGCCGAGCATATCGTATTTTTATTTTACGACGTACTGTTGCTGCTCGCCGGCTCTTGATGAGCGAGCGCGTAAAAAGAGAGGAAAGGGTTATACACCACTCTTTATTTTGTAAAAAAGGGTGTGGTACGAGTGGTGGTGGCCACCAGTCGGTCGGCAGCTTTGAACAGCGCATTATGTTGGTTAAAAAGCAGCCATCTTTGCATAGCCGGCCGTGTTTTAGATTTGTATCATACATACACACACACACACACACACGGACGCGCTCCGCAACATATGCATTTGCAGAGAGGGGAGTGGAAATAAAAACCAGAGCATTATGACTGCGCGTAACCATTTTTATGGCACCTTTTTTCTCTCTCTATATAATTTTGTTTCGCTGCCAAAGATATGTAATTATTTTTTAGCTCGGTTCGGCGGCTTAATGATTTGCGTTCGCCAATTAAAACTGCGCGTGTGCTGGTCAATTATTGGAAACAAATGCCGGATAAAAATTCAATCAATTTCAACGCTGTGTCTGGCCAATGAGCAGTTGGCGAGGATTGGAGCCGACGCCGCCGCGATCATTTTTCACCACACCGAATTGTGCGTCCGAGGGCGAAATCAGGATGTGATTTTAATCTGACATCCAAAACGCGGCCGGGATTTTTTCCATAATAGCGCCTGCCGAAACAAGTCAGAAACCTCCTTTAAATTGGGTGGTTGTTATATTTTTCCATCTATGCGAAAGACAATTTCTGATGTTTTATTATTTTTATTTTTAATATGCTTGATCTAAAAAATTTTCAGCCATAAATTGAATCATAAGATTATAGCAATACAATTGTGAAAAGTGCTGCGATCGAAATGAGCTCTTAAGTATTGGATATATCAATATTGTGATTACACTAATGCAGTATCGTTCAGCTTAAGTTATATTTTTATTTATATAAAATCGAAATGGGAATTTAAAAGTAATTATTTATGCAGAAATAAAAAAGAAACAATATTATAATGTTTTTTTTAACAAGATGCAAATCAAATATAAAAATTCGTAGTAAAATGATTCTGTTAAAAATATTAATATAAATAAATAACAAATACAGTTTTTTACTTTCAAATAAATTGTTTTGTTTTCAACTATTGAATGTTAAAAATATGAATAAATAAACAAAAATAATATTTTTTTAACATAACAATTTTAAAATTTAAAGTGCATAATATACAACTATTTTTTTTTAACGATAACTATTCCTTTCAAAAATGGTTAAGATTGCCAATTGCTTTTGAATATACAAAAATTCTAAGTATTTATTTAAATTTACAGAAAATTCCTCTCTTATAGATTACAAACCCCTATTTAATTATTTCCATAAAAGTCTGTAAAATTAGCATATTTGCGTTAAAAGTTATTCCTTAAGTTTCAAGGGAGTGATTTAATTATAGCTCATGATCTGCCGACAAACACACAGCTGGGACGCGCATAATTGTACACAACTTTGGTCAGCTGCTGGACCCCGCCGAGAGTGTGCGAGAGATCGCTCGGCATAATTGGGTGGTGGCTGCAGGCCGAGGGTTTCACCTCAAAATAGTGTTAGTGAACAAAATGAGTTAAGAACTATTTTGGTTTCCACAGATCCGACCGACCGACACCGCGTGTGGAGAGGAGCAGACTTTGCTGTGTGCGCCGCGCGCGATTCAGGAAAGAGATGAGACGAAGAAATTTTATTACGTGTACACCGGGTTAGATTTAAATTTGAGATGATGCTTATTTGTTTTGACGTTAAATGTTTACAAATGTCGCTCGACATCTTACTACCGCGCCGAGACTTCTTTCAAAAGATACTTCAAACGTTTCCGCGGCAGACAAATGTTATTTTGTGTATTTTACGGCAGCGAACATAAAACACACATACACACGCACAACACATATCTGGTCTTCGCGCTTCTATTTAGTGCGGGTTTGCTTTTTATCGGCCAGTTTCACTCTTGGATCATATGCGTGGTGAGCGCTGAAAGATGCACTGATAAAATAATGCTCTCAGCAGACGCAGCGTCTTTTTTCTTTCCGTCGAGCCAAAGAGATAAATCTGCCCTGTGAGTTTTGCTGACAAGTAATAGCGTTCACCCCGACAAAGAACATATCAAAAATTCTAAGAGTTTAATCTGGGTCGTGTGAAAGTTTAAATTCTCATTCTTTTAATAAAGATAAATAATACTAAAATTCAATTAAATACAATAAAAACCCTGATTAATAAAAATCTTAAATTCTTATAAAAATTTCTTTTCCATTGACTTGATTTGTGAAAAATAAACAATAAAAAAAAATAGTGATGTATAATTGTTAGCGCAACTTAAAAATTTGCATAAAATATTTGAAAAAATAAAACAAACTATATCATTCCAAAATTTAATTTTGTTTGATGTTATTAGCCGAAATAAAAGCGAGATTCAGCTGAAGTAAAGCATTGTAAACTGGTTTAAAGTGTCCCTTTGACAAAACAAATCTACACTTCAACCCTCTTTCCGCCTTTCTGGATTTAAACCATTTAAACCGTTTGAAACAGCTGACTGACGTATTATCCTTGCTCCGAAATCAGATTGCTCGGAATGGCCCTTCAGAGATTTGCCGGACACATTCGGGACAGGACGTCGCCCTTGAGCGCACCCGCAAGGGCCATTACCTTAATTTAGGGTTATCAATATGCAAAAGGCCTGCTTTTTGCATTTACGTCGATGCGAGAGAGGGAAAAAGCTTGGCCGTCTTGTTGTCATTGATCTGATGGCTAATACGTGCTTTACATCGGCCATGGCTCGGCCAACCGACCACTTTTTTCAACCCCCACACACCCCGCCTCGGTCCGCTCACACACCCCCTCACAACGACTAATTACTCGCGTCTGTTCTGTTGTCATGGCAACGTAAGCAAAGCATTTATAACGAATAATACTCTTTGCATACACACTCTAAGCTTCTCTCTCTCTCTCTCTCGCTCAGCGACCGCTCGCTCGCCGCTCCGTGCTTGCTTTTTTACGTCCGTCCGCGGATTTTATAATAGGCGGCGAAAAAACGAGCGGAGAGGACATCCGCGTAAAATATTATGGTTATTCAAGAATTATGTGGCTCGTCTGCATGAACTCGCTCCAGCTCGACCAGACACACTCGGTTATATCACGCGGCCGAACAAATGGACCGCATTTGTTACAATTTCTACGCTCGTGATTTCGCCAAAATTTAGTCATCAGCATTTTTTTTCGTGCTGGAAATTGCGGTCAAACCCTCACAGTTTATCGACTTTTCTCTTTGAAATAAATTATTATTTTTATTCATAAATGAAGATATCAATGCTTTTTTTTCAATAAAGCAGATTTTAAATTTATTTAATTGCTTGTATTCCATTTAAAGATTATTTATTTAGTAAAATTGAGTCTCGAGATAATAAAAAAATTCAAGCAACAGTCTGCAAATAATTTTAAAGGTTTTTCAGTGTTAGGGGTATAATAAAATGTAAATTCAAATTAAAAATAAGGTACTCACTTGATTTTGTTCTGGGTTCTCTGGGCCCATCGACAGTCACCTTGATGGCTTTGCAGTACGTGGCAATCTGGAGAGGCAAGGTGCTGACTGTGATAGTTAGTGTGAAACTCTTCCCTGCAACAGATAAAAGCAACACAAAATGAAAAAGCTGCACCCTCAACAGATACTTCCAATAAAATTTGGATATCCCGCGACAGCGCAAAATGTCAAGTAAATTTTTATTACACATATAGATGGACGGCATTTTAGAGAGGCTTTGGTGTAGCGACGCAAATTAAATTTGACACGCTCGTAAAGGGCGTGAATAAATAAATGCGAAAGAGAGAAAGCGAGCGAGTTGCAGCGCGGCAGACAAAATAAATAGAATTTACATGGGCTCTTACGAGGCTGCATCTTTGGCAGGAGGGAGGGTGGATATGTGTGCAATGTCAGTTTTTGCTCCATGCAAGCAAGTGATGCGGTGGAGGTTGGTTAGAGAAAGTGTTAGTTACTAGAAAGGGCGTATATATGTACGTATGATCGAAGAAGTGCCGCCACGCAATAATTTCGTCTATTCCACCCTCGTCGTCCCTTCTTAATGCAAGCCGAGAGATGAAAGCGGCGGGGGCGATGAGTCAGGCCAGCGAGCCGACCTAACAAGGGGGGATGTACCAGCCATGTAAACTAGATGGCTCGGCGGCGGATATACGCGGTATATGGATGGAATGCCTTCCTTTCCTCGCAAGGCAACTTGCAGGGCACGAGAGACAATCGGGTTGCATACACACCCCCGCACGCTGAATTTCGGCTTCGCACCTCAAGAGTGTCGCGTAAATCAGCTCGAGGAAGGGACCGAATCGTCGAGATAATTAGACGTTACAACCAGAAGACGACTCGCTTCTAATCAAGGAGATAAATAAGCAGCTGAGACCCAGAAGCTCCAAAGAATTATTCTCAATTTAAATTCAATTACGTTCTCTTAAAATATAAAATTCAAAATTGATATTTTAAATCAGAACTTCAGGGTCTTTTAAACTAGTGTTTCCAATTAATTTTGAAAAGTGATTGTAAACTGATTTTAAAGAAAAAGCTTTCTAAATGGACTATTTTTCTTATAAATATTATGAATTAATCAAATTAAATTACTTGATTTTGAGACAGATTTTTATTTTTACGTGGATTACTGAAACCGTGCAAGAGATCAAGAAAAACAATTTTTGTGGTCGGGCTTCTACTGCCAAACTTTTAATTAAAAAATCAATTCTCTGCCAGCAGAAAAAACTTTCTGCTTTCAGAAAATCAAAACTTTAATTAAAACACATAAATTAAAGCAAAATGGAAACACAGTGGTCAAGGTTTGCTTTATGTAAATGACAAATTCAAAAATTAAGGAGAAAAATTAACTTTGTCAGTCTATAAACAATTTAAAAAAATTAATCATTTTCTGGATATATGACAAGAATGATACAACGAGATTCATCACAATGGAGGACAATTGCAGGAAACGTCAACTCACCTCTGCCACTTCTGCCTACGAATCTGAGGTCGTTGAATTTGGCCACCTGGTTCTTCATGATGGCCGAGCAGTTCCTGAGTTCGGCGCAGTAGTTCTCGTCGTTGCCAGCGTTGATGGTGACCATGGTGCCGTCGGCGACGTCGTCCAGGGCGACCACCTTGAACGCCACAGGTAGCGACTTGTTCGAGCGCCAGTGGTTGGGCAGCACCGAGCACAGGAATCCGGGACTGCCGGTCTGGACGAGTTCGCCGTGGTGCTCGGACAGCAGCTCTTGGATGCCGGCGTAGCCGAGCTCGGTGGCGAGGTCGGTGTGCGCGGTCATGGCCTTGGCTTCGGAGTCGGCGTTAGGCATGGGGTGGCCGTCGGACACCGGCAGATGCATTTACCCTTGAGAAGAGAGGTGCGCGTCCGCTCGCGTCGAGGGTGACTTGCCATCTGCCCCTGGTGTGAGCTGCGGCGACGAGGCGGCCGAATCCCCGCCCCGCCGCGCCGCCAGCCGCCAATCGCGAGCCGCGTGGTCGGCTGGTGGCCACCGTGCCGCCCCTAAGGGCGCGTATTGTGGCCAACTACCGACCGATATACGGTGTATAACCACTTACTGCATATACCTACACAACACCACCGCTAGTGGTGAAGTGGTGCGGTCCGAGCCAGACAATCGAGACGGACGCGCGACGGGGATGAACTAACTTCCCTCTCGCGTCTCCTTGGCGCTCCTCGCTTTGTTCTGCAACGTGTTTTTGTTTCTTATTAATTGTAAGCACCACTTTGCTTAATTCCATCAGACATTAAGAATTACGACTTGAGTATATGAGTGTGGGTGCAGCATAGAGGAGAATTTAACGAAATGTGTTGTCGCACTTTCATGAGCTGCGTTTCTTAAATTTCAATAAACACAGTTTTTGCAACTAAATTATCAACAGTAGTTGCGAAGTCCTTTTACAAATCAAATTTAATTGAGCAGAGGATTTTAAACAATAATTGTTTCGACGGAAAAAGTTATAGAAAATAATTTAAAAAAATGCCGAGCATATTTAATTATAACTTTATAATAATGAAGATTCTGATATAAGATATATTCTGTATTGTAAAGCATAAAAACTCATTAATATTCTATAGTTGAAAAGAATTTTTAAATACATTATAATTATGTCACCTTGTAACCGTCAACAGAGGAGCATGAGGCCGCAATAAAGATTAATTTATTTTTAACATGCGTATGTAATATATACATTAATTAAATTATTTAAATAATACTGGCTTTTACAATAGATTAAGAATTTTCGTTTGTTGAATTGCTTTAAATAAATGCCGATATCTATTTGCTTTGTGGACATGCTAAAAAATATATATAAATATTTAACAATTAAAAAAAAATATTAATAAAAAACAAAAAATATTTAAAAAGTTCATATTACAAATTATTGAAATGTTATTAAAATTTTAGTTTATTCTGAATAGTTTTACTTTGCAACAATTTAATACTATAATTTCATTTACACAACCCACATCTTAAAAAATCTTTTGTAATTATAATTTAATTTTCCTGATTCATCAGTCTCGTCAAGTTTAATTTTTATTTTAGCTCAAGAATGGCTATGAAATAATTTTACTTTCATTCTAATTATGTGTCATCTTCAAACTTTCAGTAGCTTTCATATTATGCTTTTGTTCAAATATAAATTTCGCAATAATCCATTTGTAAAATTTTATTATCTTATTTTATTATTTTGTATACTATTTACTCTAATTATCCTTCGTGTTTTTATTATAACTGATCATTTATTTCTTCTGGTTGTTAAAATTTAAAAAAAAAAATCAGCATAATTATACCATTGAAAACGTTTAACAAGAACTTCTTTATTGGCTTAATTCATTATTATGCACTGGATGGTTATGCTAATGAAGCGTGCCGCCAGGTTTATCGGATACATTTCCAGTTCGCCACTTTCGCAGCTGATAATTATCGGCAAAATGGAAAATACATATCACCCCTGTGGCGCAACGTGTGCGGTGCTGGCCGAGCCGAGAGCCGCGTCGCCAGTTATTGACGCGAGGCACTGGCATAAAAAAGCTGCGTGTCCCCGCGTGCTGCGCGTCTCGTTCCAAATAGCTGAAATGGCTAACTTACAGAGCAACTCCACCGCATAATTAAATTATCAGAATGCCGAGAATGCTTTTGATAATTCCACTTGATTGCGCGTCGGAGCAAGCGGTGTGTGTTTTGGGGCCGACCGCGCGCTCTCTCTCTCTGCTGCTGTCTGATGCTGTTGCCGCCGCCGCCGCCGCGTTATCTAAACAAGTGCGCCATGCTTTTAGTAACTTGATACAAATTACAGGCCCATAATACCAACACTCGCATGTATATTTAATGTTTTAAAAGCAAAACCGTCTACCTACACTCAGCGGCACTAACTATGCAAATACGTATACACTCTCTCGCACCCTTTTTACGTTACATTGTGTATGACGCTACTGTGTGTGTGCCGCGAATAAAAAAGCCCGCTGGAGCATTGCAAATTTCGCCATTGATGTTTGAATTTATAACCCAAACTCGCTGCTGATGGCGAGTGCGGAGAGAATTATTAGACTGAAAGTGCGCGCTCTGAGGAGAGGGTCTGCTGTGCCACCGCCACAGCATGAGCAGCATTTTTGCACGCTGGAATGGAATAAATGCTCAGGAGATTTCGCGTTGGAGGGTGCACCAGATAGAGAGGAATTAATCATTCATGAGTACGAGAAGTGCTCATATTCATTAGGTGCCGGTTCAGATATGTATACATTGCATAACGCAATACTGTATAATAATTTTGATAAAATACAAAACTATAAAGGAAAATATAAAAGATAATTATTTATAATATTAACATTGGGAAACTGATTTGAAAATTCAAAATTAATTTCTTTCTCAGGAGTTCATTGCTGCAGTTATAGGTATTTAAAAACCTTTCTTTTAATTATCTTTATGATCTTAACATTGCCCCTTAATTTTAAGATTATGTATACCATCTCAACACTCCTGTCGTGAGAGTTGCCTAACTTCATTTTTTTTATTCAATTTATTCAACCACTCTTTTGCTAAACTATTTGAAGAAATTGGATACGTGGTTCTTGCGTTACTTTCCTTACTACCTCTGCTGTTTTATACACTGATTTTTAAGCTCTTATAAATATAGTTCCGTCAACCAAGCATGTTAAAAATCCATGCATTTGATCTATTTATTATGCCAAGCAGATTTCATTTTGGTTTAATTGACTAATTTGAAATATCGCGGTTATTTGCTTGCGTATCATATTCTGACACCATGAAGATGAAAAGGAGCATAATTTTTTGTGTAACACTGATATAAATATTCATTACATTATTTATTGTTTTTTTTTAATTAACATTATTTATAAAAACTTATAGTATTATTATATATTTTGCGTTGATGTTATGTATAGAAACTTGTTAATGAAGCTATTTAGCCGCGGTTCAGATGGCTCAGTTCAACCCCGCTGCTCTCACAACCAGTGACTATGACTTTGTCTTTAAACACTGGTTTGATGAATATCTCTCCCTGCGTTCATGCATATGCACGCCCGTTTTATTGGCAGCTCATAAGCTACGAGAGTTGTGTTAAATACGCACATCTGATGAAAGGGCCCCTTTCATATGTGATATATAAATTAATGCTTCTATGATCACATTATTATTATTGCTGAGAACTGATGAATGGGAAAGATCAGATCAAGTTTTGGCGGCAGCTGTTGTACAATAAAAGTTGCTCGCCTGCGATTGTGAGTAAGATTACGTATCATATGAGCGCGAGTGCTATATGTGTGTCATTTACATGAACAGGGCAGAGAGTGATTTATTATTATGTACACACATATGCAAAGAGCGAGCCTGTTTTGTTCGCGGGGCAGTAGCAAGCAGCTGAATGCTTGTGCGACGCATTATCTTTCTTGCATTAAGTTTGGCCACATTTACTAAAGAGATGCTCTCTGTGGTGTTTTGGTTATTGTATATATATGATTCAGCCAGGGCATTATTTCTTGGGTTTAGATGACTTATTTTTCTCTCATTACAGAGCCAAAACAATCCCAAAAAAATAAAACAATATACTTAAAAAAAAAATTGTTTTTTAACTAACAATAATTGATTTATTATGACAGAGGCAGTATAGCATAGAAAGAAATATTCAAATTAAATAAAATTTCAAATAATTGTGGGATTGAGGAAAGACGGATATATTATTTTCTTTTAAGTTAATCAATTATATTTAATTCTTAATATATTTTTTTTCTTAAATTTTGAAACAGAAATATTATATTAAATTCTTTTAAGTTTTAAAAGTATGGAACTTGGCTATGTAGATACGGTTTGCGTTCAATTCAAATGGGAACGCATTTGTATGCAGGGAGAGAAGAGAGGGTGCAGCGATGGGAAATTATGAGCGGAGAGTGGTCGGCGGCGCGGCGGCGGGGCAAGAGCAACAGCACGATCCCAATTAAAAGCAAATTACAGAGTCGGAGAGTTTGCTTCCTTTTCAACCTCTTTAGCTACTCGACACACAAATTAATACTTGGTGGACCTGAAAGGGCATCGCGCGCGCATTAGCCTGTGCACAGCAGTCAGTCAGTCAGCCTCTCTCCGGCGGCGGCGCTCTCAGGAAATGAGCATGGTAAACAGGAAATATGTGTCCGTTTTGGGCCCACTAAAAACCCCTTGGGCGTATAAATCGTGTGTTATTTTCTCTCTTAAACTTTGTGCGCGAGCGAGTGAGAGAGGAGCACACTCGACGAGAGAGGGCAAACACAATTTTCGCCAACGCGCAATGCCCTCTCGACCTAAACCCCGGCTGGCTGCTGACGCTCGCCCATATCCGAGCACCGACGCACACAGAGAGGAAATTTTTCAATTTTCGTTTTGGTTAGCTGCTGTTATCTCCATTTATTCAGTGTGTGCATGCGGATGACGGCACCGACTGCTCGGCCGCTGCTGCTGTGGCTTTTATTTATGATTGCCGTTCTCATCCAATCGATCCGAGCCTCAAACTGTCATTTTTGCACACTCTCAGCGCCCCTGCCTGCCTATGCGAGAGCTGCCGGACTTTTAAAACGGCAGCTGCCCACGTCACGACCACGCTTTGTGAAAAAGGTCGATCCCCGGAACGTTTTCAATAAAGAGTAATTTTTTCTGCTTCATAAATGGTCTTCAGCCCAATGAAAATTTAATAATTTGCAGTTCAATAAAAAAGATTTTATATTAAAATTATTAAAAGCTTTTTATTCAGAAATTTTGTGTCTTTCTCCTATCAACTTTTAGTGTTTGTTCAGTGTAGTTTTTATTTTCGATTTTCTTCTCAAACCGATTAATACATATTTATCGTATTAAATATTTCTCAACTTATTAGTTGGGATCGCCGATGTTGATA